GAGAAGATGACGAGCGTCACGGCCACAGTGTGGCCGGCCGGGTGGTTTCTCATGGTGAGGGCCACGACGGAGGACTCCAGCAGGATGCCCGCAAGGCATGCCGCGCTCGCCGCGGTCGCGTCGAAGGGCTTACAGCGCGAGGGCCAGCCCCGCACCGGGAGCAGGCCGAGGAGGCCACAGTGCAGCGCGATGGCGTGCCAGTAGGCGGCGTTGGCGCGCTCGAGCATGTCCTGGTAGTGCACATGGCCGACGGCGGCGGCCCGGACGAGGACGAGCTCGCTCGGCGGCCAAACGCCAATGGGGTCGAGCGGGCGCGTGCGTGAGACCTTAAGGAGGAGGCCCTTTCATATGGCGGTCGATCAGCGGCCCAAAGGCAAACAAATCAACGCGATTGAGTTCTGCATTTTGTGCACGGCAAAACGACGTCCTGGTTTTCATAACGTTTGGAAAACCATGACGTTTCCCATGCATTAATGCATGAATGCAGAAATTTCTTCCATTAGACGTCATGGTTTTTCCAAAACGCCATGGAAACCAGGACGTCGTTTTTACCGTGCGTTGGCTGTACCATGTTCGCCGGAGACACCATTTAAAATTCATTGTTTGGGCGTGGGCGGGCCTGGGAAAAGAAGAACGAATTCTGTTTGCGTCGAGTTTAATCAATGCTTGGCATTCGTTCACAGAAGGCTAAAAATGTGCAGTCCTGAGAGAAACGCCCAGTTTGGCATCAAGGAACGCCAGTACGCTGTCAATCAAAGTGTACTTTCTATAGAATTTCTAGTCCTAGAAAAGAGTGAGTATGAGAAAGTGCGAGTGTGCGTGTGGGCGAATGTGAGTAAGTTAGTGAGTGGGTGGGTGGGTGAGTGGGTAAGTGACTGTGTGAGTGAGTGAGTGAGTGAGTGAGTGAGTGAGTGAGTGAGTGAGTGAGTGATCGCGTGCTGTGTATCGATTGGTGATTGATTGTACGTGGCGCAGATGACCAAGCGCTTCGCTTTAAGCCTCTGCGCCGTTTGAACGCTGCCAGATGAAAGTGATGGCGAAATGAAAAGTGACAGTTTTCTCTTCTCCCTCACGTGGAGTCACAGCGCGCCATCATCGTGCGATCCGGCAGCGTCCGGGCGGTCGGGAGAGAGAAATGGACCCGCGAGCGTGGGCGCGGGGAGAAGAGAAGGTCTTTCCGAAAAACATTATTTTTGCTTTAAGAGGAAATGGAGTGGGTTGGTCGTGCGGCATTCCTATGGAGGACGACTTCTTGGGAAAGAGTTCCACTCGCACACGGAGACGCCGAGAAACAGATGCATAAAGCCATATTTTTGGCGTATTCCCCCATCTCCGTCGCACATGTCTGCCCCCCCCCCCCGGAGCCGGATACACTCCGCTACGGTTAAGTGGCTGTTGCTTACATTGGAGAGCGTCCCGGACGGAAGGGAAGGGTGAAAACACAAAGGTGGAGAGCGAGACGAGGGGTTGGAGACGGGAACAAGAGTGCTTTGAAAGCAAATGGCAAAGCACTAGTGCTTTGTATGCAGCTTCATATTAAGGACCCGCTCTCGAGTGTATTTTTAGGCTCTCGCGATTTTCGCACATTTTCCGTATTTTTTAGCCCGCCCTTCTGCTTTGAAAAAGCTATCCAGCGGGCTTATGCAAACGACCTCGTGTCTGTCTGTGTGTCTGTCTGTCTGTCTGTCTGTCTGTGTGTCTGTCTGTCTGTCTGTCTGTCTGTCTGTCTGTTCCACTAGAAGGAGATGTGCCAGAGACTTGAAATTTTCAGGGTATCTTAAGGTCCACTTCTAGAGAACGAAACGCCTACGGCAAATCCTGGCAACCAGCCCTAAGGGGGTGAATGGGGGTATCCAAGGTTCAAAAATTCTCCCAAAAAGTATTTTTTGTATGTTCTCCTAAGGGGTAACTCGTTTAAAGAGAGTCCTCTGGGCGAAAATTTCGTTCGTTTCGCTCTATCTCTAACCGTTCAGGCGCTAGAGGGTCTTTTTTTTGACGAAAATAAGCTAAAATTGCTATAGTGAACAATAAGTTGTAGAAAAAGGCCTAAAAACCGCAAAATAGAAAGGAAACTCCCCCCACCCACAAAAAGCGTCTTCTCAGCAGAAGGGTTGTAGTCGCGGTGCTTCACCGTTACATCCCTTTCTCGAGTCTTTGGGGCAAACTCAACGACGACGGGTTTAAGCGGGCCGGAGGCCCGCTACATTATTCGATCATGTTCTTCAGCAAATCGCGTGACAGAAATGGTCTGGCCGCAGGCCCGACCATCGCCGCCGGCAGGCCAAGCAGGCCCGGCCCCTGCCGAACGGAGTTGCCGGCGGAGCGAAGCGGAGCTGGCAATTCTGTTTGGCGGAAGGGCGGTCCTGCTTGTTACCGTATGATATTGTCTCTGTTTTAGTCACCGTAAGAAAAACTCGGACCGACTTTTACTCAGCTTCTACTAGAGTCGACATTTTAATCTTTCTTTCACTGTGAAAAATTGTCGTACCGGGTACAGGAAAATTTTCCATGGAAGAAGTCGTACAAGTACAATCTAAAATTGTACAATTTAATAGCCCTATGTATCGACTTGGAATCGAATATCGAGCGACAGTGGAAGGTTGTACATGTACGACTCGTATTGTAAATGGCAAATTACAAAATATATCGTACATGTACAAATATATTTTTCACAGTGTTCCGTGCCACTCCTATGACGTCGTGTCTCCAAATAACAGGACACTGCCATTCGGTCAACCTCCCACGGCTGCGTCGGGCTTCCACTTCAGCGCCGCCCTCTCCAGCCCTCCCCTGCCCACTCCAGCTGGTTCCAGCGCGCCACAGGCGCCACACCGCGCAAGGGCAGGGCGCGGGGCTGGAGGAGGTCTGTGGAGAAGGTCGCCCCCCTGGGCCCCGAGGCCGGGCCCCGAGGCCGGGCCCCGAGGCCCCCGCGCTGAGGCGAGCAGTCGCCACGCCACTGGAGCAGCGCTAGCTGGAGTGGCTGGAACACTGCAAACCCTGGAGTGAGGTTTCGTGCTCTATAAAATAACTATCGCCGAAAAGTCCATGGGGAAACACAAGTGCCAAGTCTTTGCCCTTACAATACAAAGGCATCTTTGGGGCTCTCTAGTGCATTGGCAGATGCATTAAATAGAAAAGTTCTTTAGCACCCTGGGAAGACCGACCTAGCACCTTTGTTTTTGCATTGTCGTCGCTTCGGTCCGACTATAAAATTGTCTCGCGTACCTGAAAAAAAGCTACGTCGAGGGACGTATCGTGAAAGCAGATGATACAAATTTAAGGATATGTCTGTGCCCTAATTTTCTCTCATATTTTGCTGTTCACTGTAAATTGCTTACGAACTGTAGGTTCGTAATGCAAACCAAAACGTTCGTAGCTTACGAAGGATTTTGAAGCGTTGTATTACGAACTAATTGTTTGTAAGCTTACGAACAAATAGTTCGTAATGCAAACCGATTGTTCGTAAGACCCGTCTAGCCTTACAAACAATCGCTTTGCAATACGAAC